CTTGGTCTTACTTTTTCAGCCAATTGGACGCCATTTGTATGACCTATCCAAGTGTTAATAGCTGGTAAGTTTCTTGTCTATACTGTAATAAACAAGACTTAATTAGCTCAATAACTACATAGAATAAGGACCACACTAGACTTTTTGGGCAATAGCTAGTACTAGGTCATCCTGGAACAGGAAAATTTTCTGTTAATTTATGCTTTAGAGCCAAAGAGTGGCTCACCTGCATTCAGAGAGATTTCAGAGAAGATCCTAAGGCTAGATGTACACGAAGTATGAGAGCTAATGACACTAAAGGGGGCCAGTAACAGATGGTACACAAAGTTTTATTGTCTCTCTCAATGCAACAGAGTGTTGGGAAAGAAAGTTCTTTCTAGTGAGCAAACTGTCACTTTCATCAAAATAAACTGTCCCTAACAAACCATAGTGAGGATGAGTCTATCATCAGTTTCCTGGTTTTTCTCACGTAACTTGAGGTTATTTGGTTTGCTTCTCCATGCCGTTCTTCCAAAACTTATAAAACATTTCATTAAGCCCGTATGTAAATACCTCAAGGCAACTGCTTTCCTCTCCAGATCAAGATGCAGAAAATCCAGTTAATTTCTTCATCTTCAGTGGCACCTGTTTTGCAAAAGACTCAAACATCCTGATTTGACATGGTACCTTTGATGTGATTGTGGCTTGCTGTCCTCATGTGTATTGTTTACATGTGGGGCCGATTTGCCGAGACACACAGGTACCTCAAGCGTGGGCCAGCATATTTTATGAGATGTGAGGATGGTCATGAAGAAGCTTGAGGAACTGGCCCAGTTCTCTGGCAGGCAGTTCTCCCTCTGGGATTCCTTAAGCAGTGCGACCACCTGATAAGTGTATGCTCAAAGTACTTAAACATTAGGATCTTGATTGAGTCTCTTACTGCTTCCATCTTCCAGGAAGATGTTCACCAGTTTGAAAACCAATCCCTAGAGAATACTTGAGTAATAAGTTGAGGCAGAAAGACACTGGGACCAACACATTTTTGTGAGGACAGAAGTCCAAAAACTTTGTGTGTTTTGGGGATCAATAATATTTACCCCACCCATACTCTCCTGTAGACTTAGGTCCAAGATTCATTATTAAGGATATTAACAACATCATAACAATAGCACTTTGAGCTAACCATAAAACAATAAATTAGGTTATTGAAAAGTAAATATCTGCACTATGGGAAAACCCAACGGAATCAGAACCAGATTCTGAAGCACTCCTTGTTAGCACTTAGGGTAAGTACACGTTCCTTGTTGGCAGAATCGGTCAGATTCAGTTTGATATTTTATGTGGAGAAAGAGATGACTTATTTTCTTTTCTGTATTAGTTATGATTTTTTCCTCTGGTTACGTAACTGTAGACATTGACATTTAGTGCTCAGATGCTGTAATATGTATTTTCCTCCATTAATTCATTTATTTTGTATGTGAATCCTGTGAGGTAGACACTGTTTTTACCACCTAAGATTAAAAATGAGAAAACTATGGCTGCAAGGCTAAGCCACTTGCTGAAAAACTCACAAGTAGAAAATGCCAGAGCTGAGCTTGAGCCCAGGTAGTCAAGTCACCAAATCTTGCCTTCACTTCACTTCTCAATCAGTGGATACATTCTAATTTTGAAAGACCCAAACAGCACTTTAGAATTAAATGAAACATCAAATTTCCCTAGTAAGATTCTGTTAGATGCTAGCCAGGTTATGGAGAAAAAGGACTGCTTATATACTGTTGGTGAACATGTAAATTAGTTTAGCCATTGTGGAAATCAGAGTGGCAATTCCCCAAAGAGCTAGAAACAGAACTACCATTTACCTAGCAATCCCATTACTGGGTATACACCCAAAAGAAAAGAAATGATTCAACCACAAATACACAGGTGTGCATAAGCCTTTTGATTGAGAATTGCAGGAAGACCATACCAACCCACTGCAGCACTATTCACCATAACAAAGACAAGGAACCAATCTAAATGTCCATCAATGGCAGATTGAATGAGAAAAATGTGGTACATATATGCCATGATATATTATGAAGCCATAAAAAAGAATAAGATTATGTCTTTTCCAGGAACATGGATGGAACAGGGGGCCATTATTTTTAGGAATCTAATGCAGGACCAGGAAACCAAATACTACATATTCTCACTTATACTTGGAAGCTAAATGATGAGAACACATGGATAGAGGGGAACAATAGACAGTGGGCCCAACTTTAGCATGGAGGGTGGATGGAGGGAATCATCCGAAAAAATAATGTACCCAGTATGGGTACTAAGCTTAATAGCACAGTGATAAACTAAGCTGAACAACAAACCCCCATGATACCAGTTGACCTGTGTAACAAACCTGTAAATGTATCCTGAACTGAAAATTAAAGGTAAAAAAAAATCTGCTAAGAAGTGGCATTAAATTTTTAGAGTATCAGAGCATAGATGACAACTTTAAATTTTCCATTTTTCCTCCAGGAACCAGGTGTGTGCCTCCATATATTTAGATTTCCTTTTTATATTGTGACTAAAGTTTCATAATTTTATTCTTAGAGGCTTGCATATCTCCAGTCAGGTAGATTGCAATATATTTTTGTCACTGCTGTGTATAATCTTCTCAATTGTAGCATCTATCCATCATAGAATGTAATGGTGTAGCTAGTTTACTGAAAAGCAAGTGATGTTTATATTCTTATCTTGTATTTAGAATTCTTTTTTTTTTTTTTGAGACAGAGTCTCGTCTCCCTCTTGTCACCAGGTTGGAGTGCAGTGGTGCAATCTTGGCCCACTGCAACCTCTGACTCCCTGGTTCAAGTGATTCTCCTGCCTCAGCCTCCTGAGTAGCTGGGATTACAGGCATGCACCACCACATCCAGCTAATTTTTGTATTATTAGTAGAGATGGGGTTTCACCATGTTGGCCAGGATGGTCTCAATCTCCTGACCTCATGATCCACCTGCCTCGGCCTCCCAAAGTGCTGGGATTATAGGCATGAGCCGCTGTGCCCAAACTTTTATTTATTTTAATTTTTTTTCCAGTAGATTGTCTTAGATTTTCACCAAAATTGATACACAGTCTATAATAGTATACAATTCATTGAGTCAGTTTTTTCAATTGAGATTTTTCTTCTTGTGAGAAGAGAATACTGTTTGCAAATTACATTCTTCCTTTTTTTTTCTAAAAGACTATTTTTTTAGACTTTCAGGCTTACCAAAAAATTGAGCAGAAAATACAGATTTCTCGTCTAACCCCTCCCCCTCAACAGGCACAACCTCCCTTGTGATTCACAGTCTGACTCAGAGTGATATACATAATTGATGAACTCACCTCGACACATTATTTTCATCCCAAGTGCATAGTTTATGTTAAGGTTCATTCTCACTGTCCTACTTTCTATAAATTCTGAGAAATGTGTGATAATCTGTATATACCATCATAGGACACTCTATTCAACAAATGGTGCTAGGATAATTGGCAAGCCACATGCAGGGAAATTAAACTGTGTCCTCATCTCTCACCTTATACAAAAATCAGCTGAAGATGGATCAAGAACTTAAACCTAAGACTTGATACTATAAAAATTCTAGAAGACAATGTCAGAAAAACCCTTCCAGAGGTTGGGTTAGGCAAAGATTTTATGAACAACAACCCAAAAGCAAATGCAATTAAAACAAAGATAAATAAGTGGGACTTAATTAAACTAAAGAGCTTGTTCACAGCAAAAGAAACAGTCAGAAGAATAAACAGACAACCCACAAAGTGGGAAAAAAAAGTCTTCACAATTTACACATCTGACAAAAGGCTGATATCCAGAATCTACAAGGAACTCAACAAATCAGCAAGAAAAGTAAAACAAAGAATCCCATCAAAAAGGAGGCTCAGGACATGAATCAAGAATTCTCAATAGAAGATGTACAAATGGCCAACAAACATATGAAAAACTGCTCAGCATCACTACTGATCAGGGAAGTGCAAATCAAAACCACAATGTGAAACCATATCATTCCCACAATAATGGCCATAATCAAAAAAATCAAAAAATAATAGATGTTGGCATAGGTGTGGTACAAAGGGAACACTTCCACACTGCTGGTGGGAATGTAAACTAGTACAACCACTATGGAAAACAGTGTGGAGATTCTTTAAAGAACTAAAAATAGAACTACCATGTGATCCTGCAATCTTACTACTGGCTATCTACCCAGACTAAAAGAAGTCATTATACGAAAAATATATTCACACACATATGTTTATAGCAGCACAATTTGTGATTACAAAAACATGGAACCAGCCCAAAGGCCACCAATCAATGAGTAAAGAAACTGTGATTATATATATATGTATATAAATGTATATACATATATATGTATATATATAAATGTATATACATATATATACATATATATGTATATATATATCACAATTTCTTTACTCATCAATATATATATCAATGTATATATATAAATGTATATATATACATATACACACACAAACACACACACACACATATACACCATAGAACACTACTCAGTCATAAAAAGGAAAAAATTAATGATATTTGCGGCAACCTAGATGACACTGGAGACTATTCTTCTGGGTGAAGTCACTCAGGAATGAAAAAGCAAACATTGTATATTCTCACTCGTAACTGGGAGCTAAGCTATGAGAATGCAAAGTCATAAGAATGATACAAAAGACTTTGGGGACTTGGGAAAAAGGGTGGGAGGATGGTGAGGGATAAAAGACTCCAAATTGGGTTCAATGTATACTACTCTGTTGATGGGTGCACCAAAATCTCACAAATTACCACTGAAGAACTTACTCCTGTAACGAGAGACCCCTTTTCCTCAAAAACCTATGGAAATAAAACATTTTTAAAAAGGAATTCGGGGGGACGATCCAAGATGGCCGTTTAGGAACAGCTCAGGATTGCAGCTCCCAGTGAAAGCGCAGAGGGTGAGTGGACGCCGCGTTTTTATTGCCCACAGACTAGGAAATTCCCGGGCGGAGGTGCTCCACGGTCGTCAGCGCGGCTGTTTCGGCCGGTGCCGCTGCTGTGCCCCGCGCGGCTGCTTTGTCGGTGCCCCAGAGCAGCGGTTCTCCGTACAAAATACACTGGTCCGGTGCGCTTTTGGCTGGCGATTGGAGCCACGGGAAGTCGCCCATACGCTGGTTCAAAAAGGGGACTGAGCAGAGAACCAGGACAGTAGATTCCAGGGCAAAAAAAAAAAAAAAAAGCGCCACAAACCTCAGTGCCGCTGTTTAAGCCAGCGCAGTGAGTGGCCGCAGGGGAAAACAAACAGACCCAGGTGCCTCTTCAACAGGCGACTGGAACACCAACTTAAAAAAGGCTCTGAGGCAGGGAGCCAGGAGATCAGGCTCAGCTGACCCCACCCCCACAAAAGAACAGCAACCAGAAACTCTGGATTGAGACTTTCACAGCAAGTGCAGCTGAACCCGGGACAGTCCAGCTCTGTGGGGGAGGGGCGTCTGCCATTACCAAGGCAGCCCGCCACGACAGAGGTAGTCGACCAATGCTGAGGCAGCCCACCGTTGCCAAGGCAACCCGCCATTGCTGAGGCAGCCCGCGGTTGCCGAGGCAACCCACCATTGCTGAGGCAGCCCGCCATTGCCAAGGCAACCTGCCACAGCAGAGAGGCGGGCCACCATCGCCAAAGCAGTTCTAGCTACACCCATATAAACAGGACTGCAGGGAAGTTCACTCGGCAGCTGGGCGGAGCCCACAGCAGCTCAGCAAACCCTCTACAGGCAGACAGTGACTAGGCTGCCTCCTTGCTGGGCAGGGCAGGTCTGAAGGAAAAAAAAAAGAAGGTAGCAGCATAATGGAAACTCATAAATAAAGCCCTAAATCCCTGGGACAGAGCACCTGGGAACAAAAAGCAGTTTATGAGTTCTGCTGCAGCAGACCTAAACGTACCCACCCAGCAGCTCTGAATGAACAACAAAGCTCACAGCTCACCATTTGAACTCCTATAAAGAAGAGACCGTCTCCTCAAGCAGCTCCCTGACCCCTATATATCCAAAGAGACACCTCATAAAGGAGAGATCAGATTGACACTAGGCGGGTATCCTTCTGGGACAAAGATAGCAGAAGAAGAAAACTGGTAATAACCCTTACTGTTCAGCAGCTGCTGCAGGTGAACCCCAGGCAAGCAGGGCCTGGAGTGAACCTCAGCAGACCTACAGGAGAGGGGCCAGACTGTCAGAAGGAAAACCAAGAAACAGAAATAACCTCATCATCAACAAACAGAACGTCAATCTGAGAGATTTGAGACCCAATCTGAAAGCCAGCAACTACAAAGTCGACAGGTGGATAAATCCTCAAAGATGGGAAGAAACCAGCGCAAAAAGGATGAAAACACCCGAAACCAGAACACCTCTCCTCCTACAAGGGATCACAACTCCTCACCAGCAAGGGAACAAGGTTGGAGGGAGAACAAGTGTGATGAAATGACAGAATCAGACTTCTGAAGGTGGGTAGTAAGAAACTTCTGTGAACTTAAAGAACATGTTCTAACCAAATGCAAAGAAACTAAGAAGCTTGAAAAAAGATTTGACGAAATGCTAACGAGAATGGACAAAATAGAAAGGAATATAAGTGAATTGATGGAGCTGAAGAACGCAACACGAGAACATCGCGAAGCATGCACAAGTATCAACAGCCGAATTGACCAAGCAGAAGAAAGGATATCAGAGGTCGAACATCAACTCAATGAAATAAAATGGGAAGGCAAGACTGGAGAAAAAAGGGTAAAAAGGAATGAACAAAATCTGCAAGAAATGTGGGACTATGTGAAAAGACCTAATCTACGTTTGATAGGCGTACCTGAATGTAACGAAGAGAATGAATCCAAGCTGGAAAATACTCTTCAGAATATTATCCAGGAAAACTTCCCCAACCTAGCAAGGCAGGCAAACATTCAAATCCAGGAAATACAGAGAACACCACAAAGATATTCGTCAAGAAGAGCGACCCCAAGTCACATAATCGTTAGATTCGCCAGGGTTGAAATGAAGGAGGAAATACTAAAGGCAGCCAGAAAGAAAGGTCGTGTTACCCACAAAGTGAAGCCCATCAGACTCACAGTAGATCTCTCAGCAGAAACCCTACAAGCCAGAAGAGAGTGGGGCCAATATTCAATATCCTTAAAGAAAAGAACTTTCAACCCAGAATCTCCTATCCAGCCAAACTAAGCTTCATAAGTGAAGGAAAAATAAAATCCTTTGTGAACATGCAAGTACTCAGAGATTTCGTCACCACCAGGCCAACTCTACAAGAGCTCCTGAAAGAGGCTCTACACGTATAAAGGAACAAGAAGTACCAGCTCAACTAAAGGGCAAAACACCCAGCTAGCACCAAAATGGCAGTATCAAATTCGCAGATAACAATATTCACCCTAAATGTAAATGGACTAAATGCCCCAATCAAAAGACACAGACTGGCAAATTGGATAAAAAGCCAAAACGCATCGGTATGCTGTATCCAGGAAACCCATCTCACATGCAAGGATACACAAAGGCTCAAAATAAAGGGATGGAGGAAGATTTACCAAGCAAATGGAGAGCAAAAAAAAGCAGGAGTTGCAATTCTTATCTCTGATAAATTAGGCTTTAAAGCAACAAAGGTCATAAGAGACAAAGAAGGACATTACATAATGGTAAAAGGATCAATGCAACAAGAAGAGCTAACGATCCTAAATATACACACACCCAATACAGGAGCACCGAGATTCATAAGGCAAGTTCTTAATGACTTACAAAGAGACTTAGACTCCCACACAATAATAGTGGGAGGCTTTAACACCCCATTGTCAACATTAGACAGATCAACCAGACAGAAAATTAACAAGGATATCCAGGACTTGAACTCAGACCTGGACCAAGTAAACCTAATAGACATTTACAAAACTCTCCATCCCAAATCCACAGAATATACATTCTTCTCAGCACCACATCACACCTACTGTAAAAGTGACCACATAATTGGGAGTAAATCACACCTCAGCAAATGCAAAAGAACGGAAATCGTAACAAACAGTCTCTCAGACCACAGTGCAAACAAGTTAGAATTCAGAATTCAAAAACTAACCCAGAACCGCACAGCTTCATGGAAACTGAACAACTTGCTCTTGAAAGCTGACTGGATAAACAATGAAATGAAGACAGAAATAAAGATGTTCTTCGAAACCAATGAGAATGAAGACACAACATACCAGAATCTCTGGGACACATTTAAAGCAGTCTCTAGAGGAAAATATATAGCAATAAGTGCCCACATGAGAAGCAAGGAGAGATCAAAAATTGACACCCTATCGTCAAAACTGAAAGAGCTAGAGGAGCAAGATCAAAAAAACTCAAAGTCTAGCAGAAGACAAGAAATAGCTAAGATCAGAGCAGAACTGAAGGAGATAGAGACACAAAAAACCCTTCAAAAAATCAATAAATCCAGGAGTTGGTTTTTTGAAAAGATCAACAAAATAGACAGACCACTAGCCAGATTAATAAAAAAGAAAAGAGAGAATAACCAAATTGATGCAATAAAAAACAATAAAGGGGATATCACCACAAATTCCACAGAAATTCAAACCATCATCAGAGATTATTACAAACAACTCTATGCACATAAACTAATAAACCTGGAAGAAATGGATAAATTCCTGGACACTTGCCTCCTCCCAAGCCTAAACCAGGAAGAAGCTGAAACCCTGAACAGACCCGTAACAAGGTCTGAAGTTGAGGCAGCAATTAAGAGCTTACCACCCAAAAAAAGCCCAGGTCCAGACAGGTTCACAGCCGAATTCTACCAGACATACAAAGAGGAGCTGGTACCATTCCTTCTGAAACTATTCCAAACAAGACAAAAAGAGGGAATTCTTCCCAAATCATTTTATGAGACCAACATCATCCTGATTCCAAAACCCAGCAGAGACTCAACAAGAAAAGAAAACTTCAGGCCAATATCCATGATGAACATAGATGCAAAAATCTTCAATAAAATACTGACAAGCCGATTGCAACAGCACATCAAAAAGCTTATCCACCATGATCAAGTAGGCTTCATCTCGGGGATGCAAGGCTGGTTCAACATACGCAAGTCTATAAACGTAATTCACCACATAAACAGAACCAAAGACAAAAACCACGATTATCTCAATTGATGCAGAGAAGGCCTTTGACAAAATTCAACAGAGCTTTATGCTAAAAACCCTCAACAAGCTAGGTATTGATGGAACATATCTCAAAATAATAAAAGCTGTTTATGACAAACCAACAGCCAATATCATACTGAATGGGCAAAAACTGGAAGCATTCCCCTTGAAATGTGGCACCAGACAAGGATGCCCTCTCTCGCCACTGCTATTCAATGTAGTATTAGAAGTTCTAGCCAGAGCACTCAGGCAAGAAAAAGAAATAAAGGGCATTCAAATAGGAAAGGAGGAAGTCAAATTGTCTCTCTTTGCAGATGACATGATTGTATATCTAGAAGACCCCATCATCTCAGTCCCAAATCTCCTGAAACTGATAAGCAAGTTCAGCAAAGTCTCAGGATACAAAATCAATGTGCAAAAATCTCATGCATTCCTATACACCAATAACAGACTTAAAGAGAGCCAAATCAAGAACAAACTTCCATTCGCAATTGCCTCAAAGAGAATAAAATACCTAGGAATACAACTAACAAGGAACGTAAAGGACCTCTTCAAGGAGAACTACAAGCCACTGCTCAACGAAATAAGAGAGGACACAAACAGATGGAGAAACATTCCATGTTCATGATTAGGAAGAATCAATATCGTGAAAATGGCCGTACTGCCCAAAGTAATTTACACATTCAACGCTATCCCCATCAAGCTACCAATGACCTTCTTCGCAGAACTGGAAAAAACCACCTGAAACTTCATATGGAACCAAAAGAGAGCCCTCATAGCCATGTCAATTCTAAGCAAAAAGAACAAAGCGGGAGGCATCACACTACCAGACTTCAAACTATACTACAAGGCTACAGTAATCAAAACAGCATGGTACTGGTACCAAAACAGAGATATAGACCAATGGAACAGAACAGAGGTCCCGGAGGCAACGCAACATATCTACAACCATCTGATCTTTGACAAACCAGACAAAAACAAGCAATGGGGAAAGGATTCCCTGTTCAATAAATGGTGTTGGGAAAGCTGGCTAGCCATGT